CTCACAGTTCCAAGATATAGTCAGTCACTGAGGGGAAGTCAAGGCAGGAACTCACGCGACCAGAAGCGAAGAGTAAAGCTGCCCTTGCTGCTTACAAGCTCTCACAACAGGCTGGGTTAATTAACAATCAGGGCAATGGCCCACAGACACAATCCCAGGCCCAGGACAATGGCCCACAGACACAATCATCAACCACAGGCCCAGGACAATGGTCCATAGACACAGGCTCACAGGTCAGCCTGGCCTAGGTAATTCCTCATGAAGATTTTCTTCTCAGGGCTGAAGAGATGGCTCACCAGTTAAGTATGCATCCTGCTCTCTCTGAGGACCTCATATGATTCCCAGAACTCACAGTGGATGGCTTGCAGCCACCTGTAATGTAACTCTAGCCTCTGTGTGATCCAGCACCTCTGGCCTTGGGAGACACTGTACGTACACTTGTAATTAAAAATCTAAAATGAATGAAAAAAAGCCCAACATCTTTTCCCAGGCTATTCTAAGTTATGTCAAGTTAACAGTTAGTCTAACCAGCCTGTAGCAAGTGGATCAGCTTCAAGATCACATCCTGCTACCCTGTATGTAGAGCTTCTCTGTATCTCAGCAACCACTCCCAAATAACCACTCAGAGGCTTAACATTAATTGCAAATGCTCAGGCAATAGCTCAGGCTTATTACTAGCTAACTCTTACATTTCAAGTTAACCCATATTTCTTTATCTACCATCTGCCGCATGGTGATACTGTCTTTCAATGTGACACATTCATCTTGCTACTCTCTGTGTCTCTCGAAACTCCAGAGACTCCATGCTTCTCCCTCCCAGTGTCCTCTGTTTGGCTGTCCTGCCTATATCTCCTGCCTCACTACCAGTCAGTCAGCTCTTTGGTTAAACCAAACAGAAGTCACCTTGGCAAATACACATCTTCACAGTGTACAAAAAAGATGATTTCATAACACAGTCACAGCTGTCAAGTGACTTTCTGCCATCTAAGAACAGGTGCGCCTATTCTGGGGACCAGGATCTGGGCACCTTTGAGGGACTGACCATCATTGCAGGCTACCCTGAGGGCAACCCAAATGGTAAGAGTTCTGGGCCATTTCTCTGAGGAGCAAGCATAACAGGGAGCAATGAGCACCAATGTGGGTGGGGCTGTGGCAGGTATGTCTGGTCTCAGCTCTGGACTCTGGCACCGAGGTGGGTTCGGGTCCCTGCTTTAGCAGGTAGGAGCTGCTGACAGCAGGTGACTGTGTTCTTGTGGAAGAGGTGGTGGTAAGATGCCCGGGGCTGTTAGGTTTATGGGAGTTAGCCAGAGTGTCGGACTGGGCCTCTGCAGAAGTTCAACAGGATCACACAAGGCCCGGGACAGCCTCATTCTTTAGGCTGGGTGTCTCTATGCCAGGCACAGGTCATTTCCACACATGAGACACCCCTGTGTCAGCTCCGTGTTGGCAGTCAAGTTTGCTGGTAGGTTTGTTGGTGAGGCCACATGTGTCAGCTGAGGCGGTAACCAGCTGCCCAATCACGCTTGTCCTCTGCCGAATCTCAGGTTCTCAGTCTCTGTCCCCTCAGTATAAGAGCGTTGGCTGCCAGGCAGTGAGGCTGTCTCCTTGTCCCTGCCCACCCCACCCAGCAAGGAATGGACCCCAGGGAGTGGTACAACATGTAATGCAGTTGCCCTAACCCCGAGCCAGACCTCAGCCTCAGCCTCAGCCCTGGTTTCTCTTTTCTCTTTCCCCACCCCCAGGGGATGGGGGAGGGTGGGTGAGAGGCCTAGAAGGTCTCACTAAGTTGCCCAGGCTGGCCCTTGAACTCACTTTCTTGGCCAGATAGATCTGAAACTTGAGATGCCCCTGCTTTAGCCTCCTGAGTAGCTGGGATTACAGACCAAAGCCACAGGCTCGGTCTACTAGACGCATCTACCTTACTCTATTGGTTAAGGCTGGTGCCAGGCCAGCGCAGATTCAGGAGGGGAAATAGGAGGCCTCTTGGTGGGAAGAATGGCTTGCACCCGCTGTCAGACACCGACTTTCAGGCTTTTAACTAACAGACTTAAATCCTAGACCCTAGACCTAGACACCACCTCAGTTGGCCACTATACCACCCAAACTCACCGACAATCCCATTTCTCAGGTGGGAAAAATGAGCCAGGGAGGCTGTGGGTGAACCGAGAGGCAGCCTTCATTCTTGGGCTCTATTAGGCACCTGCTTTGCTATATGCTCATGGCAGGGAATTTGGGAGGAGCCCGTCCTGCCTGAAGAGCTCCTAGCCTCTCAGGAAGACAACTGAGAAGAGACAGAGCGGGAAGCTCGGGGCACACTGGGTGGGAACACCATCTGCCCATTCGGCAAGGCCTTTTGGACCAAGAACAAATTGTTATCTGCACCCACACTGGTGTTGGCTGGAGGCACTTGGTGGCCAAGGGTTGTAGGAGCAAAGGGGAGGTGGCTTTCACAGGAATGACAGGAAACAAGTCCCCAGACAGGAAGCCCGTCTCTGAGCTGGGTTCAAAGCACAATTTGGCCTCAAGTCGCCCGAAGGGAAGCTGGCAGGAACAGGAGCGAGAGGGGAGCGCGGGTAGGGAGTGGCAGACAAATGACTCTGGGGTGTGTGGTGAAGTGGGCAGGGAGCAGGGACAGGCTGCAGGCTCTGCAGAGCCTTGAAGGTCCCACCCAGTTTGCTGGGTGGCCTGACATGCTCCATTTTACCAGCATGGTATACCCCCCCTCTTCAAACTCAGTGCTTACATTTGAAGTTGTGGAAATGGAAGATTTCAGACAACCAGAACTAACTGAGTTTAAAATTTCAAGTCTGGGGCTTTATGCCCTGGGTTGTTGGGCCATAAAACCAGATCATCAGCTCTGGCTAGGGCAGGGGAACTGCAGGATGTGTGTCGGGGGACACAGGCACAGAGGCGGGAGGTGCTGAGATGATGTTAGAGAGGGGTTTCTGGCTGTGAGCCCTGCCCTGCCTGTCCCAGCAGGGGCAATGCTTTGCCACACACGCTGTGGCCAGCAGGCCTGGCTGGCATCACAGGGTTCTGTGGAAGGGAAGGAGACCAAACCACAGGAGGAATCGCTCTTGAGGGTATTCCCTCAAGAATACCCTCTTGTGGGCACTTTCAGTCTCCTTCATGACAGGCACAGACTCCCAGGATCTGGGTCATGGAGAAAAGGGAGTCAGTCTTTCCAGTATTGTCTGGAGGGACAGCTGCCTCGAGGCCTACCCAGTCCACTTCTCCCAAGGTCACACTTTGGGACTGACCACCTCAGACGGTTCCTGCAGTGTCTTTACGACACACTCACTGGAAATGGGAGGGAGCCCGTTCTGCGGTGCTAGACAAGACGGATGGGATGGAGTGAGGCCGTGTCCTAGTGACACAGCCTCCATGTCCCGATCTGAGAAATGAGTTGTGACAATAGTTTGAGATGATTTATCAGGAAAAAATATTTTTAAAAATATTAACTAATGAATTAATTTTAGTTTATATAGCTCATTCAAAGAGGTTGGAGCTGGGCAGTGGGAATTAGGTTAATCACATCGGTAGGGATGCAGGCTGCTGCCCCTGAGTGCTTGCTTTGATTACTCAGAAGTCTTGGTGCTAACTTGACATTGTTGTTTGCATCTTTGTTACTGGCTGGTCCTTAGCCACATGGGTTTGGTTAGGCAGGATGTGGTAGGCAAACTGGGAGAGTTTTCTAGAAGCTGGGGTAGTACCTCTGTGCTATTAGGTGATTGAAGGGCCCTAGTAAATCAGCAGATGACTGACTCTCTAGATGCTTCTGGAACTACCAGTATGGTCATCTGGTCTACCCCAGGGAGGGTAGCAACTGCTTGTTTCCTTAGGATGTTGTGTGCAGAAACTAGGGACTCCTCTAGATCTTGGGCGCCTCAAGGCTAGAGTTCTGGGTTGCTTCCCCTGAGCAGGATGCAGAAGAGTGGAGTGTGTGTGTCATCTGTCTTGGTGACCCCTAAGGCTACCTATCATCTTTTGCTCCCCCTCTGCTTCCCTTCCTTTCCCCAGGCACATGTCTGGTCTTAGAGGAAGGTGTCTGGGTGGTCCCTCCCCTCAGGAGCTGACTGTGGTGAGACCCAGCTACCACACTGTGGGAGGGGGTGTGCCTGCTGCCTAGTCCACACGCCCAGCAGCCTCACCCTGTGTCCACCACATCCTGGTGCTCTGGAGACACTGAGGGGGTGAGCAAGCAAGCAAGCCTGAAAGCAGAGGGACCCTCAGGGAAGAAGATCTGGGACATCCCTCAGGCCTTCTCTCTGGGACATCCCTCAGGCCTTCTCTCTGGGACATCCCTCAGGCCTTCTCTCTCCCTCAGGGAAGAATGAACCTTAACCACAATTCTTGTGAGGGCCTGTGGTGTTTTATTTTGAAAATATGTGACATTATTTTAAGGGTGATGTGTGTGTGTGTGTGTGTGTGTGTGTGTGTTCACTCGCGCGCGCGTGCGCACACGTGCGCAGGCATGCATTGGAAAGCTTGAGGAGTTTGCATTCTTCAACACAAGTCTGTGTGGTTTCAACATAAATGTGGCTTTTAGGCTGCACATGATGAGCCAATCATGCCATCCCAGCACTCAGGAGGCTGAGACAGGAGGATGGGGAGTTTTAGGTCACCTGAGCTTGAAAGTAAGAGCCCAACTCCAAAAAAAAACTCAAGTAACCCCCATTTGCAAAATAACTGGAAAATAACTTGAGGCCTCCCTAGGCCTTTGGACCAGCTCTAGAGGGAGGTGGAGGTTGAGGTTGGGCTCCTGTCAGTCGGCTGTTGAGAAACTTGAAGGAGAATTGTGTTCTGTGGTCTGAGGGAGTCCCCAGCAGGTAACAAACCTTCCCTCTCTTGCTGCCCCCCCCCAGGAAATAGGGACACAATAGAGAGGTTAAGTGACTTGCCCGAGACACACAGCGAGAGATTGGCCTGAGTCAGAGTTTGAAGCCGCAGCGTTTAGCCGCAATGCTCACAAAGGTGTTACTTTGTATCTGTCACCTCAGGTCTGCGGTAGGGCAGATGAGATCAGTTTCCTGGACAGCGAAGACTCCTTCCTTGAAGAGCTAGGAGCCTGATAAGGGACAGAAATAAGTAAAAGAACGTTCTTAGAAGTTCTACCGAGGACCGTGGCGCAAACACTGTCTTGGATAAGGTGAGGTTTGGATGGCCCCGATGTGTTGAGGGTATGTCTCAGGGTCCTGGTCGGGAGGAGCTCATTTTTATTTAAAAGTGGGTCCCTTTTCCGTTGTGAATTTTTTTTCTTTAAAATGTAAAGCTGTCCTAGGAAATCAATTTGCTTGATTATCGAGTTTGGGGGCACCCCTCTCTCGTAAATGTGTGCTCTAAGCTAGCATCTCACTCACCTAGCTCAGTGTGTGAGAGGATGTCTTAGCGTAATTTCTGTTGCTCATCACTCCATGTTGAGGTTGATGAATGGCAGGAGAGGAGATTTTTGGGTGCTTACCCTTAGCCAAGGCACAGAGCAGTGGGACCCAGAACCCTGTTCGACGGTAGCAGTGATGGGTCTCGGAGGTGGCTCGGTGGGACAGAATGCTCCTTCTGCAAACATGAGAGTCCGAGTTCACATACCCAGCATCCATGTACGAAGCCGGGCATGGTTGCTGTGCCTGTGAGTCCAGGCCTGGGGGACAGAGACAGGTGGGTCCTGAGGGTGCACTGGCTGGCCCTACCTATACAAACCAGTGGCCCTCTGATTTGGTGAGAGACCCTCCTCACAAGGAAAAAGGTGGAAGGTGATAGAAGAAGAAACCAGGGGTCCTGCTCAGGTCTTTTCATGCATATGTGCAGGGGTGCACACCACACGTGCCATAGCACAGATACTAATGGGCTTGCTGGGGCTCCACCATGGGCTGTGCACTGTTGTTCTGAGGTCTGTTTTCCTTTCTTACATCCTAATACCCACCCTGTGAAGCATGGGGACACTGACACAGAACCCAAGCTCTCCAGAGGGCTACGCAGCAGAACTGGCCTTTGGCCTGAAGGCTGGGCTTCCGAGTCGTGACTGTTAACGCTACGCGCTGAATCCAGCTTTGGGGATCCATTCCTGGCTTCTTCATCTCTTAGCTGTGTGTTGTTGGGCAGCTTGCTTGACCCTCCTGAGCTTCAGTTTTCTCTCCTGAGGGGGTCATCAGGGCTTTGGGGAGGCTGAGGACGAGTGAGAGGTGAGGGGAGTGTGAGGGACAGGCAGTGAGGGTCTCAGTGTTTCAAGGGTTTTTATTCCTGGCTCCAAACTCAAGAGGCCTTGGAAACCTGAACCAACAGAGAAGTCACAGCCAGGGCTCTTGGCAGGAGTGCTAGGGAGCAGAGAGGGGGACAAAGGTTCCTCTGTCAGCCACTTGGGGCCTGGAGGGGGCCTCATGGAAGAACCATGAGTGCTCCAAAGAACAAGATTCCTGCCCAGAGGCGGGCTGACACTGCGGCCTGCCAGGCACTGCTCCTGGGCCAGGCTGGAAGATTCCTCTGGACTCTTCTTGAAGGGCTTGGGAAGTGGCTTTTCCTCCCTCCACCCCACACCCAGGGTTATTGTTATTTTATTTTAGAACCAAATAAAGATGAAACGCATCTTCACCTTGGCAGCTGCTAGGAGTCCTCATTACACCAGGTCACCTCCAGATCACCATCCCTCAGGCTTACGATGACACTGGTCACCTGCCCTCTGCAGAGGCTGCCTCTCTAGCCTCCGCCCTACTCTCTGAACCCCTGCCATCCAGCTGTACCCATGGGGTTACCTAGGGCCCAGAGATGTTTCCGCCCAGTGCACTGTGGCTCTCCAGCTCCCTGCAGTAGCTCATGATGCAGTGGATAATGTGGAGACTGAGGGCCAGAAGTGGACTATCTCTCCCGATCAGAGTGAGGGCAGGTATTTCTGTGACTGCAGGTGCGGCCCGGCTGTGTGAGGATCTCTTGACCCTGGAGGATGCAGTTCACTCGCTTTGGAACAGCATGGCTCTACCAAGGAGGGCCAGCCGTGTTTCCTCATTATAAAAGCTCCTCAAGGACTTACCTAGCAGGCACAAGGCCCAGGGTTTCATCTCAGTCACCCCATGTCAACAAAGATGAAAAAAAGAGAACTCAAAGGAAAACTTAAAACAACAAACAAACTCTGGAAAGAGGGACTGGAGGGCTAAGGGTTCATTTGTAACATTGTAACACACATGGCAAAACTGCCTAAACACTGTAACACTAAGAGACTAGACAGAGATCAAGTGCCCATCCCGCCCAACAGTAAGCAATTGCAAGGAAGCTGTCCCCAGGCCCCTGTTATTGAAAAGCTCATGAAGCTAATTGTGAGATATTATGCAGCTACCTAGAAGGAGGGGTATGATTTACCATCTCCCAAAGCGGTTATGGAAGGAAGGTGCATATATCTTTTCTTTTATACAAAGTGTGTGTGTGTGTGTGTGTGTGTGTGTGTGTGTGTGTGAGAGAGAGAGAGAGAGAGAGAGAGAGAGAGAGAGAGAGAGAGAGAGATCAGGAAAAACCTTTGTAATTATTCAGAGGCTTCAGAATGGCACCCGGTAATCTGATGCAGGAGCCAAGTGCCCTGGAAACAGCTGGATGGCAGTGTGGAAGGGGTAGGGCTTTTTGTTCTAACTCTTTAGAGTTCTACATGGTTTGAACATCTCTAATTGGGTAAAGCTGTGTCACCTAGTCAGAAATTTAGTAATGAAAAGAGGTGAGACTTTAGTTCTGAGTGGAGACCCTCTCAATAGTCAATGTTTTGTTTTGTTTTCAGTGTGTGTAGCAGACTCCTAGGCCGTGGTCTCTGTGACCTTCCGGGACAAGCCTGGGATTTTGAATTACCTCCACTTGGTTCTAGCTCTTAGTGGTGTCGCAGGGGAAGGGTCCTTGTGGGGCTTACGTCAGAATCACTCCTTGGTCTAGCTCCCCATCCTCCGGGTAGCTGCCATGGGTGTCTGGTTGTTTCCTGTGGGCCAAGCTGACATCTCGGCACAGCTCTGCTGCCTTTTCCCACAGCAATCTTGAGACCCAAACCCTTGGTAAGTGCTTTCAGGAGAGCGGTGTGTCCGCCTGGCCCTCCTCAATGTTCACCTCCAACGCATGTAGGCTTCTAGAGAAGTCAGTGACCCCAGGCTCAGTCCAGAAAGGCTTGATATGTCTTAATCTTGCTTGTCTCTGCCAGAACTTTCCCAAACACTCTTCCCCCACTCTGTCACCAAACGACTTGCATTAAGTAACGCCTCTTCTGAAAGAGATTGCAGGTCAGGGCAGAGCTCTGGCCTTGTGTGCAAAAGGCCCTGGGGTCCATCTCCAGCATTGCGTAAGTCAGTGAATAGCAAACAAACCAGAGCTTTCCTGTGACATAACCCAAAGTCCCAGATGACCTTCTCCTGGGCCCAGCACAGGGGCTGCCCTTTTGCTGCTGGCTCGAACCTCCCAGGTCAAAGCCCAGGCCACTTCTGCCTGGGTGTGGGTCTTGGTTCTCTTCTCTGATCTTGCGGTCTGCCCCCAGCCCCTCTCCTTCTGGTGTCTTTCCCTTTCTCTGTCTTCATCTTTCTTGTCTTGGTCTCTGTCTCTTCCCCCTAAGTTTTCTCCCCCACCCCCTCTGTCTTTCTGTCCCTACCTCTGTGTCACCAGTCACCACCTTGGTCCACACTTCTTTTAGCTCCTTGGTGCTTGCTCCTGACCTGCAGGAGTCTGAAGAGAGAGAACTGGTCCTCTGCTTTCCTGAAGCCAAGGGCAGGCCATCCTTGAGGACAGTGACCAGTGCGGGCACCAGGCCCTGGTGGGGGTACACTTGAGATTCTGCCACTGTTTGTTCTGAGGGACGAGGGGCTGTGTTTTCTTGTTGCACTGGGCCTATTCAAGACTCAGGTGGCTGTGTGGAGGTCATGACCTTTGACTTGAGACAGAGGAGGTGCCACACTGAGCAGACTCTTGTTCACCTAACAGCAGGAGGTTACTGAACTCTTCCCAATTTAACAGATGAAATAAGTGTAGATCCAGAGAAGCCAAGCCACTTGCCCAAGAGCACACAGCTTGTGGGCCTGGTGGAATAAAACTGATTCTCAAGGGAAAAGATTCAGTAGCGCCTGCTACTTCCGTGGTCATAGGAGTCAGCGAGGTCACCTGCTGCCTGTGAGCACAGAGGTGAGGAGGGGCACCTGCTACTTCAGTGGTCATAGGAGCCAGCGAGGTCACCTGCTTGCCTGTGAGCACAGAGGTGAGGAGGTGCTCTGTCTGTGTAAAGTCAGCTGCCACAAGGGTCCTGGGTGTCTCCTCACCAGGTGCCCAGCATGTGGCTGCCTTGGTGTGTAGCTCTCCAAGCCTTAGTTTCCTTACCTGTCAGGTGTGGATCACAGTGCCGGCCTCCTGGGTTACTACTGGAACGTAGTGACTCAGGATGAGAGCTTGGCTGGAAAATGAAGCTAGAGAGACCAAGACTGAGCCTTGTGAAGGAGAATGAGGTGAGTTCACAGTGTGGGTGCAGGGATAACAGGTGTAAGGGGGACTGTCCGTGGTGTAAGCAGGTGCTCTGCGAGCAAGTTTAGTTTGTATGGTAAACCATATTAATAAACAAGAAGAGTCGGGACCACGGAGTTGGCCCAGGCTGTCCTCTACCAGTACAAACTGTCAATAGTATCCAGCTTGTGGGTGATGACGTCATCAGGACATCAGTACTGAGAAGCAGAGGGATTCTGTTCTGACATTCCTGGGAATATTCTAGAAGTCGTTTTTTCAGTTTTAAGCCAGCCGCATAGATTCCTGCTTATCCTTCCTTGGTACATTCAGGAGAAATGACTTTGTTGAACGACTGTATGGTCAGTCTCTCCTGCGATACCCCAGGCTAGGTGCGGTTAGGTCCCCAGGAGCCCTGTCCCATAGCCTGGGCAAAAGCATTCTGATCTTAGCACCAGGAATCCGCCTCACTGTGGTTTGAACTGTTCAGGGCCAGGACCACGTGACCTGGAAGCTGGCATCTCTTCCCTGGCCAGGAGCCTCGGAGGTGGAGGCCCCTGGGAACAGTTCCGGCATTGCTGTCTGGTCTGTTTCCTTCTCAGGCCTGGCTCCTAGTCTGTTCCTTCCAGGTCCCTTCCTCCTTTCACTCTTACTCTTAGTTTATGTTCCTCACACACAAACTTCTCTTTTGAATTCTCACCCTCTTCTGGT